AAAATGCGGTGCAACTAGTGGGGGACGTACCAGTTCCTTTAATATATTTCATCACATTTCTTGGTAATTTAATATTATGATTATAAGCGTACATTTATGAAATAATTAATGTTTACTGAGTACTTTGATTTATGATAAATATTTAAGTTTATATTATATATCTTAGAAGTTATTTTATAAAAATAGGATAGTCATTTTTTTATAGGAGAGGGGGCAAACGAGCATGCGGCTCACCTGATGGTAAGTGAATACCGCCGCCCATGAACAACTGCAACACCAGGGGAATTGCAGATGCTTTGACCACCCTTTAAAAAGGAGTAGGCTCTTTTCTTGAACGTCCCTAAGTCGTATCGGTCCGGAAAAATTGCTGGTGGTAATCGATTCTACAATAATATATTCGCGTCAATAGTAATACCAAGAAAAACAGTGGTATCCACAAAACTTAACTCCTCCCCATTTAAGAGCACTTTGGTATTTAAATGTTTAACATTAGGTGTTGTAAATATGACACATTTTGTATTATTTCTGTTTAAGAACAAAATGTTGGCTTTGAACTATTGTACTAATTTCGATAGAGCATTATTTACATTGACAAAATTAATTAACTGTCGTTAAAGTTTGAAAATTAAAGAGGTATCATCAGCAAATAAACCTATATCGTGGTTGTCCCCTACTAGATAAGATAAATCATTAATATAGATTAAGAACAGGAATGGGCCAATAATCGAGCCCAGAGGAACGCCCATTGATACTACTGATCCGGAGGAATCTTTACCATTGATAACAACATTTTGAAATCTGTTATTTAAATATAAAGTAATAAGTCCAAGCGCAATATTTCGACACTGTAATGTTTTAGTTTTCTGATTTATATCTCACGATGAACACAATCGAAAGCCTTAGAAAGATTACAAAAAATACCTAAGGCATCTTGTAAATTCTCCCAGGCATTGAAAATTTATTTCATAAGCTAAGCACCTGCGTTAGTTGTCTAGTGACCATTGTGTGACCAAATTGCGTTATATGGAATTATTTATTTTTATTAGAAGAATTTAACGATTGATCTAAAATTATTTTTTTAGAAACTTTACTGAGAGTTGGTAGTACAGAAATAGGTACTAAATTACCAAAGTCTGATGTACTACCAGATTTAAATGAAGGTATTAATTTACTATGTCTCATGTAATTAGGAAACACACCAGATTCGATACTAGTATTAAAAATAATAGCAGGATGAGGTGCAACTAAATCTATTATGGACACAATAACTTTAACGGAAATTCGCCACAAATCTGCGATTTTCTTTACATCAACGGTTTTGAAATATTATACAATATCTTGTGTACAATACCTTTTTAAATCTAAATTCTTTTCAACAGGTATTATTCTGATTGAGTAATGACTCGGTGACAGTTGGCGAAGTGTTCAATGACTCTTTTAGTTTTACCAAGTCTATACCAACGTGTGTGCCTATGACAAAGACCTATATATATATAGGGTGTTAGTTCGCTATGGTGTGTACATAGTTGTTTCTTAATGCAACAAGCAACACAAAAATTAAAACGATGGCCGCCTCTGAGGCGGCGGGTATATTTAACTCTACATATGGTTACTAGGAAACCAGGAAGGAAAGCTATGCACAAAATATACTTTGTACCACAACAACGTTCAATACACTTTACAGTAATACTGCTGTCTCTTGGGACAGCGTGCTTTGCGCACCACAGTGAGGGCATTGATACAGTCACCAAAGACAGAGCACCAAGCAATACAGCGTACGGAAGTTAAGGTGTACTAATATAATTCGTGCACATGAGCAAAGACAGTGGAGTGACAGAAGTAAGCTCAAACGACACGTCCGGAGTTTACAGGGCCTAAGCCCAGAAAGGGTAACTTGGTCTCGCGCGTAAGCTAGGACGTACTTTTATAGAAGTGAAGCGGGGAGCGAGATGGTATTTAAGCGGTGCTCCCGAATTTGCGCTGTCTATCTGCGCCCCCTTTTCCCTAAAGGGATTGCTTCCGATTCGGCAGAAAGGCCACACAAGCCAATGACAGTCTCACAGGTGGTGTTAAGTGGGTAGGCACTTAGTTTTCGCAGTTAGTCCCACATAACCACGCAGCTAGCTGTCGTGGTATGCTTAGAGCATTAACCACCTCCCTCCCCCGCTTCCTGGAGGGTAGCTTTTCACTGCTTCTGGGCGCAAAAAAAATTGCGCTGTCATTCCTATGCCGAGCGGCACCAAGTGCACACATATGTATTATTGTAAGAAGCATAATGTAAGCTATACTTTGATATAAGGAAAATATATATTATGTAAATGAAATTTTTTTTATAAAATTTAGAATAATGACCAGAGGGGGTGAGGCAGAAAAAATTCTAGAAAGTCACTAGAAACCATATAATTATCACGCCCATTGGCTGGGAATTCATTCGACATTCGGGCCTTACCAGAAAAAGGAAGAACAAAATAAAACGGGAACTCTGCTCTGCCCTGCCTTCAGCTGCCTCTCTGACAAGATAACAAGCGTTTTTTATTCATCCTGGATACCCTAGGCAATCTATCTACAACACCCACCAGCCTGCCAAGCATAGTAAACTGCGGTAAATATCCCTCCTATGAGGAAATACATAAGGGAGACATGCTTAGAAGTGGAAGTGGCACGGGCTATAATTAATGCTGAAATAATTATATTTTTCGCTCTAAATTATTTTTATTTTAGTATTTTGTTCAATTTTTTATTCAGCGTGTTTTGTAAAGCACTGTAGATAAATATTTAGGCGAAAATGTTTATTATATTTCTACTTAAAATGTAATTTCCGTGTTCCTTTAAGAAGATATTAATACTTTGACTTTCAAGATCATGACTAAAGTAATACTCGGAGATTAATTATTATAAGCCCTCTCAATTACAGATGCCCGGAATAAGATTGTTCTGTTATATTTTAGAGATTAAAATAGAAAATTGTAGAGATTATAGGGAAATTTCGTCAAATGTTAGTATAAATTATTTTAAATTAACCTTAAAAATATGTAATGGTGATGTGATATAAATTTTTATTGTGTTAGTCTCCTACGTGTCTAAATAATCAATAAGATCTTTTGTTCATTTACTGAGTAAAACCTAATATATACGATAAAGGGCTTTATTTTTAATATTGATGCCAAAAAATAAACGAGATTATATAGAACATTTCAGGTTGAGACCATATATTTTAATAGTCTTAAATCTATTCAAGTTTCAATGCAAATATAAAAGTTATCTCACAGCCTTAAGAACTTCAAATAACCTCATTTCTTTACATAATGAGAAACTGAAATCTTGGTATTTCGCTGGATGTTTCAAAATACGTAGGGTAGTTGAGACTCATTTCAATTAAAATACTTTTTATGGGCTACAAAAAAAATTTAATACAGAAAATGTATGGAGATAGCAGTTGATGACATCGTACTTACTAGAAGTTATATAAACTTCCGAATTTAACATATTTTTTAATTATAATAATCTGATTACTTCAAACTTAAAACCAACCAAGTTTCGATACACTGCTAAAACTTTAGCGATTAGGTTGATAGTGGCTCACAATTGATATTTTCCAAGGATAAAGAACTATGAAGTAGTAGTTATATGTGTGTGTAAGTTTGTCTCTCTCTCTCTCTCTTTCTCTCTCTCTCTCTCTCTCTCTCTGTGTGTGTGTGTGTGTGTGTGTGTGTGTGTGTGTGTGTGTGTGTGTGTGTGTATGTGTGTGTGTATTTGTGTATTTTATATAAATAAAACATTAATTTACATGTAGTACTAAAACCCATGTCCAAAGGTAGACTGTTTACAAGAGTCAAGAAGAACATAAGAACTTGTCCTACAAAACATTTTATAGCAGTGATCGTTCCATGGATCTTTGGAAAGGAAAACTTAATTTATTACGACCTATTTGTGCAGTAATCTACTTTTTCATTTTTCCAGACCGATACTGGGACCTTCAAGAAAAGAGCTTTATCCTTTCTAAAAGGCCGGCAAGGAACCTGCAATTCCCCTGGTGTTGCAGTTCATGGGCGGCGGTAGTCGCTTACAATCAGGTGGGCCGTATGCTCGTTTTGCCCTTCTCCTATAAGAAAATCTGATAGGGTTTATGATAAGGAAATATCTGCTGCTGATAAAAAATGTGATTTTTGATTTTGATTTGGACGTTTTTAATTTCAATAAACGAATATTTGGTTATTTGAGGTAGCTACTTTAATATAAGTATTGAAAAGTAGATACCTTTTTTCCATAGACAAATCAAAAATGATTAGGGCTTCACCTCTCTAAGAAACAGCTCATATATTGAAGTGCTATGATAATCTATGATGATTTTAAAACAAATTCGTTTTTTATTGTTCAAGCATTTTTTTTTGCCCGCACTACTAGTGAATGTTTTCTTTTTTTAATACCTACACATATTTATTTTCGTTATAAATTAATCCAGCATATAAAATAATATTGTATAAGAGTCGAAATGTATAAGAATCGTTGTTAAATTAAACATTAAAATATAAAATATTTATTACTATAACAAAAACAAAAACTGAAACTCAAAATTTTAATTATCATACAGTTCCTACTTCCTCCGATATAGTGTCAAAATAATTGGCTGTGTTTTATTAAACACACTCAAGCACACGCACACGCACACGCGCACGCGCACGCACACGCACACGCATACGCACACGCAAACGCACACGCACACACACACGCACACGCACACGCACACGCACACGCACACGCACACGCACACGCACACGCACACGCACACGCACACGCACACGCACACGCACACGCACACGCACACGCACACGCACACGCACACGCACACGCACACGCACACGCACACGCACACGCACACGCACACGCACACGCACACGCACACGCACACGCACACGCACACGCACACGCACACGCACACGCACACGCACACGCACACGCACACGCACATGCCCACGCACACGCACACGCACACGCACCAGCACACGCACACGCACACGCTCACGCACACGCGCACGCACACGCGCACGCACACGCACACGCACACGCACACGCACACGCACACGCACACGCACACGCACACGCACAGGCACACGCACACGCACACGCACACGCACACGCACACGCACACGCACACGCACACGCACGCGCACTCACATACGCACACGCACACGCACAAGCACACGCACACGCAGACGCACACGCACATGCATACTCATACGCATATGCACACGCACACACACGCAAACGCACACAAACACGCACGCGCACGCGCGCACGCTCACGCACACGCATACGCACGCTCATGCGCGTACTCACATGCACACGTACATGCACGCGCATGCACACACGCACACGCACACTCACACACACGCACACGCATACTCACGCACACGCACACGCAAACACACGAGCAAAATTAATTTAAGCCAAAGTTAATATGTTTATTTCTTCAAATTTTTCTCTAAGGAACTCATTGCAATTCAAGTTATAAATCGCCCGTACGGCTCTCTTTTGCAAAACAAATATAGCTTCGATGTCAGTTGCATTACCCTATTGCAAAATCCCAAAAGATATCATGCTAAGAAAGTAACTAAAATAAACTAATCTAGCTGTCTCAACATTGGTGAGACTTCTAATCTTTCTTACAGCATATGCTGTAGAACTAAGTCTGCTTGGTAATTTAGATATACGGAGGCCCCAATGAAGCTATATTGTTGTTGTGTCAATAGTAATACCAAGAACAACAGTGGCATCCACAAAACTCAACTCCTCCCCATTTAAGGGCAAATTGGTATTTGAATGTTTAACATTAAAACGTACACACAACCTATTTTAAATTTAATACATTTTGTCTTATTTCCGTTTAAGAGCAAATTATTGGCGTTAAACTATTGTACTAATTTCGACAGAGCATTATTTACATTAGCAAATTTAATTAACCGTCGTTTAAATTTGAATATTAAAGAGGTATCATCAGCAAATAATACTATATCGTGATTGTCCTGTACAAGATAAGGTAAGTCATTAATATATATTAAGAACAGGAATGGGCCAAGAATCGAGCCCCGAGGAACGCTCATTGACAATACCGGCCCGGAGGAACCTTTAACAGTGATAACGACTTTTTAAGTTATATTATTTAAATATGAAATAATAAGATGAGATGCAATTAAATCTATTATGGACACAATAACTGTAACAGAAATCCCACATGAATGTGTGGCTTTCTTTACATCAAGGCTTATGAAATATTTTACAATATTTTGTAGTAATATTTTTCCAAATCTAAATTCTTTTAAACAGGTATTAACATTCCGTTTGAGTAATGAATCGGCGACAGTTGGAGAAGTAATCAATGAATTTGTTGTCAAAATAAGTATATCAAACACTCCTGCGACTTTTTGATTTGATCTAGTCAATTCATTATTAATTTGCAATTGATAATTTGTATTACGAGGTTTGTCTTTACCGGTTTCTCAATTAATTATATTCCACTTTATTTTAATTTTATTTTGGCTGTGGAGCACACTCTTTTAAACATTTTAGATTAATTTTTGACATATTCTCTATAAATAATCGGAAAGTTTATATGATCTTTCATGGTGAAGTTCATATAACTTTTGTTTGCTTTTATGAACTTCTACTGTCTCCCACTCATTAAGTACCTTGCAACTGTTAATGGAGAATGTTTTAGAAGTAAATGTTTTATAAAATTCATTGCTTATAAGGGTAAATAATATAAATAGTCTGATTTGTTCTTGTAAGAAATCAATGTGAGGTTTTCGCCATATTACTTCTAAACCTCTCCAGCCGTTGTGCATTAATCGGAACAAACACAATTTTCTCAATTACCTGTTTTTTGTGCATATATGGTAATGAAACCAGCTGTGCACTGTAGTACTCAGTTTTTGAATTATGAATTTCTTGATAGGTACCTACAACATCTGTAAAAATATTATCAATACAAGTTGCACTACACCCTGCAATGCGTGTAGCTTCAAAGAATAAATTATCAAGATTGTATGATTTGAACAATGAGCAACATTTGATACTCATGGAAGAAGCTTCCAAAAGATTGCTATTAAAGTCTCCGCATACTACAGGAGATTTATTCTAATTACTAGCTGTTCCCCGCGACTTCGCCCGCGGGATATAGTTTTTATGTTTTTGCGCGGTACCCTAATTCTTTTTCTAAAATAAACGTAGCCTTAGATTAGCTGGAACAAACAGACAGACAAAAATTTAAAAAATTGTATTTTAGTTATAAGTACCGTATTTACTTTCATATGCACTTAGTAAAAAACTGTAAATTTGACATTACAAACAGAAACTTCAATTTTATTTATTTGTATAGATTAAACATAACTAAAAATTCTTCCATATTTTTTTCAATGGTAATCAAACCTTGAATATTGGGGTCTGTAAACGCTGACAACAATGTGCTCAAACTCAACACACGCCATTTCTACAGTTCGCTCAACAGAGAGGCTCACAATATCTTTACATACATACATAAAATCACGCCTTTTTCCCGTAGGGGTAGGCAGAGACCAGTTCTTTTCACTTGCTACGATCCTTACATACTTGTTTTGCTTCGTCTACTTTCATTATTCCCTTCATACATGCTCTACGGTTTAGGGTACTCTTGACCTGGCCTTTTTCAAGACGTCCCTGATTTGGTCTAGAAATGTCCGCCTAGGCCTGCCCCTTCCAACACTTTCATTCACACTCGCCTTATACACTTTTTTCGTCAATCGTTCTTCATTCATTCTCTCGACATGGCCAAACCATCTCAGCATACCTTTCTCAATTTTTGTCACTACATCTTCTTTCAGACCACAACGTTTCCTTATCTCACTATTTCTTATCCTGTCACTCAGTTTAACTCCTATCATACTTCTTAATGCTCTCATCTCAACTGCATTTATTCTGCTTTCATGTTTCTTCTGCCATACCCAAGTTTCACTTCCGTACATGAGTGTCGGAACCAACACCCCCTCATACACAGCCAAACGAGCCTTGTTAGACACCTTCCGACTGCTCATAAAGGAGTGCAAAGCTCCATTCACCATGTTTCCTGCATTCACTCTTCTTCCGATATCACTCTCACACTTTCCATTTCTTGTAAACTTTGAACCCAGATACACAAACTCTTTCACCTGTTCAATTTGTTCATCTTCAATCACAATATTGCAGTCTGTCACTGCCTCATCTTTTTCAAACACCATCACTTTCGTCTTCCTTACATTAAATACTAACTTGTTTTACGAAAACCATGTTATCGATTCTGCTGTTGGTGTTCAGCAGGGTGACCCTCTGGGTCCAGCACTTTTCAGTTTGGGAATTCAACCCATTATTTCAAATTTGAAATCCAAGCTGAATGTCTGGTACCTAGACGACGGTACACTGGGAGGTAGAGCAGATGACGTCCTCAGCGATCTTACTCATATTTTTCGAAATTTTAAAAATATTGGCCTTGAACCAAATAGCAATAAATGTGAAATATTTTTTTCCAATAATTTATCTACTTCTCATAGAGACACTTTAATTCAAAATTTTTATCATATTTGTCCAGGAATAAAAACTGTCAATACGGAATCACTATACCTGCTAGGTGCCCCGTTGTTTTTCGATAGTATTAAACCTGTTTTAAAAACAAAATTTGATCAGTTTTTAAACCACGTTGATAAATTGTATAAATTAAACCCCCACATAGCTCTTACTATTTTAAAATATTGTCTTCTTGTACCTAGATTTACATACTTACTCCGCTCGAGTCCAGTCTGGAAATGTTCGGATATTTTACAAGATATTGATAATAATCTTAAAATTGCTATAGAAAAAATTCTAAATTTAACTTTAAATACAACAGCCTGGACTCAAGCTACTTTACCTATAAAATTTGGTGGCATTGGTGTGAGAAATCTTTCTAGCGTTGCATTGCCTGCTTTCCTTGCTTCCGTGCATAGTGTCAGTGACTTATGTAACATAATTTTAAATAATAAAGTAGACCTATGCTTTGCTACGGAGGCAGGGCAGACATGGCAAACGCTCTGTCCTGGTGAAAATATTCCACTGGAAGTTAACCAACAAAAACAGTGGGATATTCCGTTGGTACAGGGCGTGCAGAAGGATTTGTTTCATAATTTCCATAGTGACCAAGATAAGGCACGCCTTCTAGCTGTTTCGACTAAGGAATCTAGTCACTGGTTACACGCTTTACCATCAAGTAACCTCGGCACATTACTTGATAGGGAAAGCTTGCGTATTGCCGTAGGAATCCGACTAGGAGCAGCGATTTGTCAACCCCATCAATGCCCCTGTGGTAGCAGCGTCGACAAGTTTGGGCTCCACGGACTTTCATGTAAGAAAAGCGCTGGTAGGTTTTCACGACACAGTTCTTTGAACGATGTCATCCGAAGGGCTCTTGCCTCTATAAATGTTCCCTCGGTTTTAGGGCCTTGTGGAATATTTAGAGACGATGGCAAGAGACCCGACGGTATGACATTGGTCCCTTGGGAGAGAGGTAAAGCCCTAGTGTGGGATGCTACTTGCGTAGACACTCTGGCGGCCTCTCATCTCAGGGGTACCTCGTTTAAAGCCGGGGCGGCATCAGAGGCAGCTGAACTGAGTAAGTGGCGCAAATATGAGTCTCTGAGAGATGACTACATATTTGTGCCATTTGCCGTAGAGACTATCGGTCCGTGGGGTCCACGTGCGGTGAAGTTCCTAAAGGAACTCCATCCGCGGCTGGTCGTTGCTGCTGGTGATAAGAGGGCTGGTTCTTTCCTCGCTCAAAGGCTAAGTATAGCCATTCAGCGGGGAAACGCAGCCAGCGTTCTTGGCACGATACCGCGGGGAGTAGGACTATATGATAATTAAGTTTCTAGTTTTAGTTTTTTTTTTATTATCATAGTTTTTAATATTGTAGATAAAATCAAATATTAAATTTCTTTAATATAAATAATTTACTTCATAAAAAAAAATTAAATTACTTGGAACTAATTCCATATTATTTGCAAAATTATTTTGCTGCTCATTAAAAGCCGGTTTCAAGGTAGCCAATAATTTGACTGGGTTAAAATAGAAATAATAAGATAGCGTACTTAATAATTGATTCTTTTTCATGTTAACTCTTGTCCCGACAAAAATTAATAATTTAGGTTTTATTAGGTCTAAATTTACTATTTAAAATTTTATTCATAATATCACTGTATGTTGCTCCAGGCACGCAGTAATTATTTATCTGTTGCCCTTTTAAACAGTTATTTAATGCTATTCCCAAGTTTTGTGTCTGAGAGGCACACTGAACCTAAACGTTAAGTTGGAGAGATCACGTCTAATAAAGTCAACGCTCCGTCCCCCTCGTGCTCTAATACAAAACCCCTAAACCTTTCAGCTCGAGCTACGAAACCATTTTCAGTGCCTAGAAGACT